TGTGTGTGTGTGTGTGTGTGTGTGTGTGTGTATTGAGCTATATGTAGGTCCTATATTTGGGCATAAAAGGGGGCCCATTAGACGTCCATGATGGATAAAATTCCAATACAAATTATGCTGATATTGTGGCTCTGGATAACTTGAGTTAGAAGTGAGGGTGTGGCTTAACTACAACCAAAGACAGTCTGGAAGCCACGAATAGACGTCTGAAATAACCCCTCGTTAAACCTTCAATTTGGACAGACTTCAGTGACGTCCAATAATCTGATCCCACCAGCAAAAACACACAAAAGACCGCATTTTCGATACTGCAGACGTAGATGAAAGTCTATAGAGGTATTTCGAAGGCACAGTAAATGGCATCAAAAGTGGGCCTTGCCACTCTTAGCACCCCACTACAACTCGTCAAAGCGACGACTACGAGAACGAAAAGAGACCGCAACCATACTAAAGGCCACACCATCTTGGTCTTCACTCCCTCGACGAAGAATATCAAATCAACTTTTTATTTTTTTCGCACTCGTCACTTAGTTGCGTCATCTCTACGAGAATAAAAAGTTTTGATGCCCAAATATTTATCCCACCTATAATAAAAGCAGCATTATGTTCGAAAGGACAATAACAATGCTAGTTTCCAAACTTTGAGTCTTAAACACAATATGCTAGCAAGCTTATATAGTTTGATATAGTGCTGCTGTATGCGGAAATAACCGATCCAATGGAGAAAGAGCACTCGAGATGCAGCCTTAAGAAGTTTTTTCATAGTTCCATAAGCCTGGCTAAGTCATACCAAAGGCTACCAGATATATGCAAGTTCATTGAATCTTACGTGGATAAAAAATGATAGCAATCGCCCCGTCCTGAATTCTGTAAAGCTTGCCACAGCCGGTTCTTCGGAGGCTGTCTGGCTGCTGATTCCCTTCCTGGTCATCTTATGAGGGGCGAATTGCGTCACGCAAATAAGACATTTTAATGAATCCACAAAAATCACGAGTCTCGTCCACAAATCCTATTTGTTTTCCTCAAATATATTAACTAGAGACATGCGTTGCCAGCCTCGGTAAGTTAGCAAATGAAAAGATGAATATACTGCGCCTAGCATAAAGGCTGTCTTGAAGCATAAAAGAGGGTGGAGAGGCCTGGAAACGGGTGTAATCTCATAGGTAAGACCGTCAGATATTCAAGCTCTGAGAGAGCGCTAAAATCTCCAAACAGAAAGCCAAGTGCATACTCCTTTCAGGTTGAACAAGAGCGCACACCGGTATAAGTGCATGTAAGCATACCACCATAGGCGTCTGTATGCATTGGATATGCGTCTACAGAGACTATCAATTTTCAATGCAGCCGAAAGCTAACTATTTCAGCATAGCATATGAAAACAATAGCCTCATGGGACACAAAAGTCGACGCGAGCTCACGATAGGCTCTACAACAATAAAGCATGGCGGCTATCTTTGTCCTGCTGCACAAGTCGGCTGTAGAGAGGATGATTTTCTGGCATTACTCTTCGCTTCTCAGACTACAACTATTTAATCACTGACTCCTTCCAGCTGAAGGGAAAACTGAGAGGATGTATACTGATACGTGGCACTTGGTATCCATTTTACGAAAGGTCTAACGATAGATTTCTGCTTTGGTGTACATAATAACAGGCTAAAAACACGCGGTCATCACCCTGTCACTGATGTAGGGAAACCGAGCGATCGCGTCGCTAAGTCTTCCAATAGGTCCGTCCACGTCGTTAGCGAAGGTTGGAAGATGCAGGTGATAGAAGAGACCTCTGCGCCACCAAGGAGTCGCCACCGGGTAGCTGGGTCCTCGAGGAACGCCCACTCCCAGACCGATTCCAAGACACAAAGCGAGAAGCACCAGTGAGCCCAAGGCCACTAGAAGGAGGATTCGGATGAAAGTGACCTGCGAGCAGCCGCAGGGTGGCTGGAATGGCGGCCTAGAAGGAGAGGAAAGAGACAAAATGATGCAAATTTATAAGAAGCCCAAAATATTTGAGCAATTGTTCACATCAGTACATACTGCCTAGAACCAAAATCAGGCTATCATTTAATAAGGAAATATCATAGCATTGGTCCTCTGAACAAAAGCTTTAGAATAAAGGGGTGATTCACAATCAAATTTTGGATGGAAGAGATTCATTCGTACGTTGGCCTCGCCAGAGCTCTTAATCCTCGCGTAGCGATCGTCAGCGTACAAATATCCGACCCCAACAAATCTGATCAGAGCTTTTAACTTTCATTACGTGCACCGGCGAGTCATATGGTGAACTCTGTCAATAATGCCATCAATAATACCCGAGACTAAACGATTGATATCAAAATTTATTGACTTACTAGATTTTGCCTTAAAGGAATCTTTTGTTTTTGCTACAATCTATCACTTGACTAGATTGACCGGACAGCAAGGTTAGCTGTCTAAAAGCGCCTCAGGCAAAACTTCGAACAGAAGAAAAGTTAAATATAGATGCTAAGGCCGAACTAAATTGAAACGACAGGGCCAAAAGTAAAATAGGCTCGGTCGAATAAATGATAACTATTTATTCATTTTAAACCAATGAGCTCTGATCGGTCCCAGCTAAAAGTTCAAAGAACCCACATCATCCCACATGGATATATGAGTGGCTCCTGTCTGACGGAGAATCCGTTCAATAGTAGTGACCAAAAGAGAGCACCTGATCTCAAATACCCATTCGAGCCATATGAAAGAGTACTTTGCCACTTTGACAGATAATCAAGATAGTCGTGATGGCATCTTATTCTAAATGCACCGAGTGAATGAGGACACAAGTTTGCCACGTAACTAAAAAGGAAGTCCCCTCCATCCGCCCATAGCCTAGCAAGTGTCGATAGTTGAGCTTACTTCCATTTCGAGTGAAAGTCTTTGGTGAAGAGTTTCGAAGGTAGAATCTACCAGAAGACAATGGCAGATTTCTCTTGTCCAATTGTCGATTGGCTTTACTGGAACATTCATGGTGACGCTGTTTCAGAGGTAATCTCCTTCGATTCCGGTGAAAAGGTGCAAAGCTTTTGTCTGTCATATGACGAACATCATCAGAGCAAGGTGTCATCGTTACAATCAAATTCAAGCTAACGAGTCAAGAAAACTCACCGGCGAATTCATAAAAAGCTGTATATATACTCTATATCTGGCGTCTGAGTGATTTGGTTAGTTACGGTCATATGTCAACCTCGCAGCCTGAGTGTGGGGAAAGTACGACACTTTCTTTAGTTATTCCCACATTTAGCGAGAAAGTTGACCCATTATCCAGATCGGGTTGCTACAAGATAATGTGTTCGTGTGGTCGCTTTTATGTTGGAAAGACTTATCATCCATTCGACAAAGGGTGTCTGAGCACAAAAGCGCCTGCAGATACTGTTGGGTTCAAAACTCGGTGCTGGCTGAGCACAGGGCAGAAACGGGACACGAGATTGAATGGTCTCAAACTCCTCGTTTTGCTGATTATGGCATGTATGCGGCTAAACGTAAAGTTAGAGAAGCCATCGAAATAAACCAAATAGGAAATACACTGAATGTAAGGAATATCGGCAAGAAGATAAGTAAAAATTACTTGTGCTTAATTAATAGACTCAAGGATAGAGAGCAAGTTGAGCCACCCACAAAAAGGAGTCGAATCAAAGTGTCTTGTCTTGTCTTGATTCTAATCATAGTAACTTCTCTGTACTTTTAGCTCACTCCTTCTCTCTCGAATTAAGGCAAAAAACAAAAAAAGGCTCATCAACATAACCAGACGTGTGTCCGACCTTGCGCAATCAGAGAGATGGTTATAACATGTATGTAAAATGGGGGAGATAGTGGTCATCAAACCTTGATGGCCAAGAACAGACGTTATTTTGCTGTCCTAATTACTATGAGCCATCACTTCTGGCTTCGTGTATAAGCGAACACAAACAGGCACATGCACGTACAGAGACAGACACACTCACAGGTTTCGAAGTTGACATATGACTGTAACTAACCCAATCACTTTATACCTCATCAAAGAGGCCAGATATAAAGTATAAATACAGCTTTTTAGGAATTTGCCAGTGAGTTTTCTTGGCTTTTTAGCTTAAATTTTGTTGTGACCTTTTGTTGTTGATACCTTGCTCTGATGATGTTCGTCATATGACGAACGAAAGCTTAGCACCTTTTCACCTGAATCGAAGTAGCTTACCTCGGAAATAGCGTCACCATGAATGTTCCAGTAAAGCCAATCGACAGCTGGACAAGAGGAATCCGCCGTCGTCTTCTGGTAGAACCGACCTTCGAATCTCTTCACACAACACTTTCACTCGAAATGGAAGTAAGCTCAATAATTATGAAACAAGAGATTCCTCGACACCCAACTTTTCTTCGCAAATGTCGATAGGACATGTAGTGACATATCCCAACACTTAACATGTAATATTTAGTTTGTGTTACATCCAATACGTAGCCATGGCTCAACATCCTTTGGTGTAGGGATCACGTGAGTGCGTGACTAAGCTTGACTCTTTATTTTATGTCGCTTAATCAAGGCTCGGCACCGCATCGTACAATCAGAAGTCGACATGGAAAACTACGCAAAGACATATCAAGTAGCCAACATTCTGTCTAAATCGGTCACGTAATTTCCCTTCTCTTTCTCCGCTCCACCTTGGCCCGCGGGGGTTAGAATGTCCTATTTGGCGCCATCTTTCAATGATCGTCTTT